CACCACTGTATTGCAGTAGTCAGTCTATCTTGTATTATATGTCTATGGTGTCTGATTTCCACTTCGAGTGGAAGTTTTTGTATTTTGGGAACGATTTCCGAAGTGAAAATGGAAACGTCAAAATATACGTATGTTTGATTATCAACGTCTCTATCGACCGGCTTCCAAAACTTGTTTGTTAAGGAGCAGCCTCGTAATGAGACTCTATACTCGTTGGTATTAGTGAGCTGTAATTTAACATTAATAAAGTATTTTTGGTCCTTTAAAACCAAAAGATTTCAATTTAAATGATATAAAAACGGGTTCCATATTTTTGAACATTAGTACGAGTGAGTAGAATATAGAGACAAGTAATTAATACATATTTCCCACGTCTTAACTTCCGACAACTTAAGTTTCCCTATTTATGATAATTAGGCTTAATAGCGGTAATAGATTCGGTGTATTTAGGTTTGAAGCTTAATAGATTATCATTACGGGGATTAGTACCATTAGACCACAGCACGTCGTTGTCGGTTGGACTCACCTGTCCATGACCTATTATTCACGTAAAGACAATCCTCTGTTTGCAGCCCTTAAAAACCAATATTGATAAAAAAGATCGAAGTATTTTAAAAATATCTTAATTTATCAGCCTTTTCTGGTTGGTTTTTATAACCGGCAAAAAATTCTATCAGATTATCTTTGGTTAATTCAATCTTCATTACTAATAATTTGGTTTCATAAACATTATACACTTCATTTTTGATGAAGTGCTTATTGCACAAAAAATAAATATATGTATATTTTTGTTTATTACTGTAAGAACTAGGTAATATTCTTAAAAATGATTGCACTAAAAGTAGCCTAGATGGTACTTGAAAGAGAAATAATTGTCCCGTCCCCCATACATCACCTTGTATGCACCGTCGCAAATACTGAAGTTGCAAAACGGCTTATATACCTGGCAGTACAGATAACTAAGGACGACTATATTTCTCTCTGTCGCAGGGGTTTGAACTCAAAGACACCTCTGGAAAGTAAAGTTCAAAATATATAAAACTATCATACGGTCGGTAGCCACATATGGCGCAGAAACATGGATCATGGCAGAAAAAATAATAAACCTTTTGAAAGATATCGTGGATATTGTGACGTATCTACAAGTATATGGGGAGTAACCACGAATTATATCAGTATTACAAAGAACTGTCAATAGCAAATGATGCAAACATACAAAGATTGCGCTGGACAGTTCAGAATAGATAACATAACACCTATTAGAATGCTTAGTGAAAGTATGATGGGACGCCGGCCAGTATTAAGACCAAGGAAGAGTTGAATAGACGAAGTGAGAACCGAGTTATTGAGGGTGGATAACTGAAGGAGATCATCCGAGGAAGGATGCTTGAAGGCGGATGCTCGACATAAGAGGTGAGTATGTACACCTACAAGACACCTTACCTTTATGAAGAAAGTAAGACAACTGTTGAAACAAAGGATAACAGGTATGAGCATCTTGGACAGATATGATATATTTAATGTAGTCCTTAATAAGTGTTCATAATCATTGAAATTCTAATGTTATTATCTGCCATACTATATGTCACTTTTAATTTGTGTTATGCCCCGAATACACTTGATATCATTTCTATAATGTTCTTGTACCAACTACGAGTTGTATCATAATATTTCTTTCATAATAAATATATGTAGTAAGCAAACTTCTATAAAAAAAAAACTGAGTATTTACAACCACCTTGACTTCACAACTACTAGACTACTGTTAATCTACCAAAAATGTCATTCATTGTAACAAAAATATACATATATTCAAAATACCGTTCCAAAAACTTAAGATATAGTTAATTTAACAACAATAATTATATAGAGATTTAATACATATTTTTAAAATATATACCTATTCAGTCTTGAGGCAGAATTTCTTGATTATAAAAATATCGTTTTTTTTTTAAGTTCAAAGGCATGCATCGTTATTAGGCTCTGATCACAGTAGTTTGGTATGTGTATGCAATTTTAGATAAAGAAGATTCAATTCATGGAGTCATTTGACTCAATTTTTGATATTGCGAGAGATTACAACCTTAGCTTGAGTGTTTAACATCATTAACAAGATTACGAAAAAGATACTTCTGGATAACAGTGGCTGCTTGTGCAGTGTGAGATTAAAAATTGATATAAAAACTCACTCACCACAAATAACACAAAATTTTATAAATGTAAGTACTACATAAATCTGTTAAAAGTCCAAAAACATTAGCTTCTAGATTTATGACTTGTTCTAAACATCTTCAGTGTTTATCTACATTGGGTCTGTCGCCAGTCGAAAGTGGTAGTTCTTGGACAATCTCAAAGGTTTTAGTTAATACAAGAGGCAAGTTCTGATATAAGTACAATAAACAAATATTTATCATCTAAAATGAATTCCTGGTTTTGAAAGTGCCATTATATGAATATCCAAACAGTTTTACAAGAGTTTTGAAAGCACTTTCTACTTTGAATTCTACACCCATGTATACGTACTTACATATTATTATAGTCTATTTTCAACAATCTCTTTAACTTGTTTATGTTGATTTTTTATTTTTCTTCAAATTTGTCTCTGCGCACCATAGAAGTGGCTAACCACCTGTTTAAGTAAATTTCCCAGTGCTCTCACTTATGTATTCTGTATTCTGAACGATGTCAGTTTTAAATATTCTTGTTTTCTTTGCATTTTCACCACTCTATCTACTTAAAACCATGGGTTTTTATTAGGGTTTTCTTGTCTTTTTTACTGGTCGTTTTCCTAGTGCTTCTTCTTTTTCTTTCCTTCAATAGTAACAGAAACTGATTGTAATTAATTAAAAATTAAATAAAAAATTGCACATTCCGAGCAGGTATACAATTAACTTTACGATGTTGATTTTACATATACAGGGTACTGAATCGTCAAACGGGCCATAGGAAATTCAATGTGAAATTCTGAATTGTTGAATTCCTGCTTCCCTAATTATTTTACATCAAAAGTCATACGAAACTATTTGTAGAGGACTGAAATATGTATTTAAAAAATATTAAAATTGTTTTACGAATTAAATGTATTCCAATTTTGTAAAAATATAATACATTTTTCAGACCACCCCTTAAATTCAGGCCTCAGTTCACGAGTTACAAGAATGTGTATGACATGATGCGTTTGGTCATATTTATGTTTGTGATATTTGGCAATATTTGAATTTCCAAAATTTTAATTTTGTGATTTATTGTTTAAAAACCAATATAGTTGATTAAAAGATGTATTCAGTTGAGGAGAAACTAGCAATAGTAAAAGTGTTATATTCGGGCAATAGTGCGCGAATTGTCAGTTCTTTATTTAGCGTAAGATATTCCAATAGACCAATTCAAAGTCATTCAACAATTCAAAGGATTTTACAAAATTTGGGACTAACTAATGGGACCATGATTAGTAGAAATGCAACAGTTGTAGAAAATCTTAAAATAAGTTCTCGGACCATTGCAGACCAGTTTAATATTCATAATTCTACGGCGTTAAAAATTTTGAAAAGGAATAAATACTGAAAAGGATTTTAGTATTTGTGTATAATTTAATCACAAAATAAAAATATTGACAATTCAAATATTGTCAAATATCAGAATCATCAATATGACCAAACGCAACACGTAATATACATTCTTGTACCTCGTGTGGCCTGACTTTAAGGGGTGGCCTGAAAAATGTATTGTATTTTTACAAAATTTTGGAATACATTTAATTCGTAGAACAATTTGAACATTTGTTTTTAATACATATTTCAGTCCTCTACAAATAGTTTCTTATGACTTTTGATGTAAAATAATTAGGCAAGCAGGAATTCAACAATTTAGAATTTCCCATTGAATTTCATGTGGCCCTTTAGGCCATTCACCACCCGGTATATACAGATGATGAAATATCAAAAATAATCCTCAGCAAAAGGAGAATAATTGTAAATGATTACGCGCGTTGAAGAGTTGTCTTGGCAAAAGTGACTGCGTGCGTAACGTATAAAATAGAAGAAATTTAGTTAAACCAAATGAAACCAATAAGAAAAATGAGTATTACAATAATATATTTTCTATTATGGTCCAATGTGGAAAGCAGGTTACCACATGGTAACAACACAAGAGTAAAAGTATAATACACATATTAACATATATATGGATTTTTTGCGCGATTTTTAGATGGAGAAAAAAAACCTAATTGTGTATCAGTTAAATCATCAGCGAAGATGAAATTCGGATGTCTAGTGCATCATTGCAAACTCCAGTTCTTTTACAACAAGAATACGCTTCGTATCCAATTATATAAATAAAAGAAAAATATGTAAGACTTAAAGCATGCCAGATTTTTGAATTAAATGACAATGCATTACATTTTCATATATCCTAGAAAAAGTATCGCCATTAAAAAATGCTTAATCTTTTTTATATTTTATACAAATAAGATTTTCAATAGTTTTGGTTATATCAGATGCCCTCATACTCTCAAGAATTTATGACTTAACCTTACCGTCGCTGCATGCACAAATAAAATTTTAAATCTGGTCGTGTGGCTAATTTTGTCGTTTTACTACAACGAGACACTGCAAATTTAAATAACACAAACAGTCGCGCCGATAGTCTTGAACCTCATCGCTGTACTATGTAAAGTGTATGTAAAGCAAAATCTAGGAATCTAGATCAATGATTAACTATTCTCAAAAATAATTCAAATACAAAACGATTATCTTCTGTGATCAAAGCCTACATAAACCAACTATATATAATTGATTATCTATAAATACCACCCAGGAAAGTAGATTAGCACCACTATTAATAATCACTACACTTATTAATGTAAGGCACTGTAACCTGTTTGTGTATAATTTTTAAATGAGCAACCATATTATCTTTTCTTGTGAACTCCTTTCCGCATAAAGGACAAGAATAAGTCTTCACGTCCATTTTATGTGAAGTCATGTAATGTCTGCAAAAGTTACTAATGTGGGTATAATTTCTGTCGCAAACTGTGCATCTGTAGAGGTTATCTTTTTCTCTAACACAGAAATCCCGAGCTGATTTTTCATGATCTTTAGATTTCTTTGCAGAATTAAAAAGGTAATTTTTGTTGTAGTTAGTAGGATCATCTAAAACTATCTGATATTGAGCAAAATCGTCTAAGTCAATAATACCCTTATTCCTATGTTTCTTTGGAGTGCCACTACTACTTGTACAATTATCTATTGCTACAGCTTTGTCTGATGTTTCATCTGCATTTTCACAACTTGTCTGTATATCATTTTCAGTATCTTCTTCTATTTCGAGATCATCTGAATGCAACGAATCTTGATACGATATGTCTTGTACAGTTGAATTTATATATGCATTACTGTTAGTACTAATAGAGGTAGTTGTTTCTTTCACACCTGAAAAATATAAACAAGTCAAAATATGTTAATACTCCAACAAAACATGCAGAATGTATTGCATAAAATCAATAAAAATGTGATACATAGTTTGGAAATGTTTATCTACTAAAAGGTCCTAATTCTAAAGACCGTAACGCATGGAGAGGTTTGCTGAGGAAGGCCAGGGCTCGAGTTTGGCTGTAGATACGATTCTTTATGAATTTTGTTTCAAAACAAAAACCTTTTAGAGAAGGAAATAACCGTGTGTTTTATGTTTTAAAAAGCATTTCAAAACAAATTCCTTATTTTACGTTGGTGTATCATAACCAAAGTTGTAAATTTCGCACCATGATTAAAACATGATCCTGAAGAATACAGAGAACATAGAAACTCATCAAGATATTCGTACAAAACCTGATAAATATCAATGGTAAACTAAATATCTCCAATTTATCTCTTGTGTTGGAATATAATGACACTAAGTTTTTTCATAACTACCACAGATTCAAAAATAGCAACCTTTGATCTATTTAGAAAAAAAGCCGAAATATGTTAGAAGATAACACAGAACTAGTGTACTTTTGGCCTCTTACTTGTATGACAAGTTCCTTGAAGTTTAGACATCAGATTCATGTTTATAACAATGTAGGACCATTTACTATAAAGAAGCATTAAGTCTACCACATGTGCTTGTGGTTGGGCATTGTGCAATAAATTACGCACCTTAGATATTGTATCTGAAGCACAGACACCTAAAAGAAAATTTTTGTTGGGTGTGTAAAATATAATAAATATTTGCACTGGATAAGAAAATCGAAAGAATAAAAAGAAGTACACTGCGTGAAACTTGTTTTATTAGGACACCAAGGTTGGACTCTGTGGAAGAACAAAATCGCCAATACTGGAAGAGATTCATATAACGCATATATCTAACGTAAATGCACAAACGACTTGTTTTTAATGATGCCAGTTTAACTGGATATCCCTTTCAAGACAAATTTCATCCATATAAGTTAGAAGTCAGTTATGGCATCTATATTTTAGAGTTGCAGGAACAATTACTCAACGTATATACTATAACGTCTTTAATTTAATAGTTTAGGATGTATATACATGACTTTAGGGAAAGATAAAGGATACATACGTGTACTCATTGTGTTACGTACAATTACGTACCTCATTAGCATATTATAAATATTTAATCTCTTTGATTGTATAAGTAAAACCTTAATACAATGAATTTGTTTCTAAATAGGGGTGATTTTATAAATACCTCCTACTTAGAAATTCCAATAAAATCTTGTTGGATATCTAACTTTGCAATAGTGGAATTAGTTACAGAGCTGATTTTTTTATGAGAATGAAGAGAATTTGGTAATACAGTTGATACAATCTGACAGTACTAGCTTAAAACAAAAGTAATATGGAATTCAGTTTTAGTGATGAAATAAAATAAATAAACGCATTTCATAGTTTACTGACGGTCAACACAAAGCCTACGGGGTTGTAAAATACGCTGTTTGTCTTTTTAGTTTTGCATATAGCCGCGTAGAGGGCGACAGTAATAAAACCTTCCGACACAAATGTAACCTCAATCTTTTGTTGACATAAATTGTGAGTTTCATTGAGATACAGCAAATCTTGTAGATACAGGGAATTTTTGAAATTAGCAAGTTGGACGAAAAATGGATCTTAGCCGAGAACATTTTCCAGCAATAATTTTTTTACAATTTTTGTAGAGGATTATCGCAAGAGCAATGGCTCGCTGAAATGGTTTCTGTTTGGGAATGAATTATCACACCAGTCAACTACTTGCCGCTGGTATTGCGAATTTCAATTCAGCGACGAATCCAGGTCAGGTCCACCCAAAACAGTAGTCACACAGCAAAACATTGATGCGGTTCGTCAGCTAATTAAGGATGACCACCGTGTAGTATACCGGAAGATAGAGGCATCTTTGGGCATTTCAAAGACCTCGATTCAAAAGATCCTACATGAAGAAATTGGTGTTATGAAGTCGATTTCCCGTTGGATCCCTCATTTGCTCACAGAAGAGCAAAAAGAGGTTCGCGTCAATTGGTGTCAAAAAGCATTGGAACGGTTCAACAAAGCAAGCTCAAGAAACGTTTAGAGTATTGTTAGTGGCAATGAATCTTGAAAATAACCGGCAATCCGCTGTGTGGGTGTTTCACAAAGAGGAAAAACCAACAAAAGTGATTCGTTCTCATGTGTCAAAGAAAATGATCGCAACTTTTGTGTCAAAATCTTGTCAGGCGGCAACAATTGTTTTAGAAGATCGAAAAACGGTTACTTCCGATTGGTATATAACCGTTTGTTTACCAGGAGTTATCGCGAAACTCCGACAAAGCAACACACAATGGCGAATCATTGGATAGGATAGTGCAAGTGCTCACACTGCCCAAAAGACAATAGTTTTTGGGAGCTTCAAAACATCGAATTGTTAAACCATCCATCGTATAGCCCCGAACTAAGTCCCACATTACATTACATTCTGACAATTTTTCATTCTGTCAACTGTCACTACGTCCTATTATAATAATTATAGGGAAGTATTTCGTTTATTTAATGTTCGTTGCACTTGGTCGTTAAGTTGGTTAATTCCGATTATAAAATCTTTTGCCCGTTGCTTCCATATATTTTAATAAAATAACTGAAAAATTAATGACTCTAAAACCGATGATTTGAGTTCTGCATAAACCTCCAAAAATCGATAAATGAAGCCACATGCTTAAAATTCGTAAACCAACATTCTAAAGACAACAGAACATTTGCGTTTAACCTACTTCAGACAATTAACAGGTCATTTTAAAACGTCCTCATTATGGTCATTTTACATCCTTGCCCGAAGCATATGCACTAAACACGGCGTAAACATTGTCGATTACCCAAAACTATTCATTTTGTAGTTAGTTCTTTTGCAAATGTAATTAATTTATTAAAGCGTCAGACTTGAACCACAAAGGTTGTAATTCCAATTAAAGTCTGCGTCTAAATGTTTTTATTTAAATATTTTTTATGGTTATTTTTTTTAAGTATTTTTTATCGTATATTTAGATTCAAAAATTAAAAAAAATAAAATAAATTAATGATAGTGAATATTCAGAAAAAACTTTAATTGTTATAAGTTCTTATGCTAAAATTAAAATGTGCAAATCGTTTGTTATAATAACCGGAAAATGTTACGATACAGATTTGTCAAACCTTTGAAACAAAGGACATTTGTCTTGCAATCTTACACATTTTGTACTAAATTACCTGAAAAGCAAATGTATACGGCAAGTAATTGAGTTAACAAAATATATAACGCTCCTAAAAAGATAACAGAATATTTAAAATGGCTAAATCCAGATAATTAGATCAGTCGCAGCTTTCGAAGAATCTCCGCAATGAGTTTTATACTGGTAGTGAAATCAATGGTAATTCGATGTTATACTACATAGGGGTTAATAGTCAACAACAAAATAAATATTCAAGAACATTGAAGACTCTATTACTAACAGAATAGTCAACATGATTTTACAGTGCACTGTAACGACACACTCAAAACTTATATATCAAAACAACAGAGTATTGCAATCATGAACTGTCAAAACTCTACCATGAATTTCAATGGTTCCACTTCATAAAATTAAAATAGAAATAAATGTTACCATTAAAATGTACCACTTCTTTATGGTGTGAATTATAAATTGAACCCATCATTTCAAAAAGGCCATACTTAATATCACTTTTTGGTGCCATTTTATTTCTTAAGGCGTTTTACGTATTTTCTGTGAAAAGGGCACATCTTCATAAGTCAACAAAAAAGGCAAGCAAAAGTTGAAATCTGTTGTGAAGATGGTATGAGTCCTGTCCTATTGTAATGAAATGCAACGTAACTGTTACAATGTCACATAACCACTAAGAACAAAGTAATATAAAGGATTCACAAGTGCACCTCATACAGTCCTCGAAGACATACCCTCTCAGGACTAGCAACTTCAACGTGGAGTCATATGTCGCCATGTTACCTAATCCATCGGTAACTCTATCATCTTAAATTATTATAACGTATTTTTAAAACTAAATGTAATTAAACATCTGTTAACGGGTTTTTACCCATATATTTAATCTTGGTGGCTACATTCATGTACTCCTAGACACTGATGATGGAACATGGATTCCGAAAACGTTATGTCTTTTTAACTTAGCCCGTTTGGGCCTCAAATATATACCTTTTATAAAGGACTTTTAATTAAATTTTTTAATATAAAGGAGATCCACGATGTAATATACTAAATAGTATATTATATCGTTAGAGATACAATATTACCTACCTAGAAGAGGTCACTCAATTCTGTCAAATGATAGAATGTTTGGGTCAGCGAAGAGATGCCTATATTCGAAAAAATGACAGAATTTACTTTCCAATTGAATATGAAAATCTTATAAAGGGAAATTTTGTAATAAGACAGCCTAAAGCTGAAGATATAATGGACCTAAAAAAAAGTTGACCGATCCATTATAAGAATCCAAGGACCAAAAAGTGCCTTTTACTATATCCAAAGTTTCACATTCCACGTTTTACAATACCACGCCAGGTTTTGTGATAACACGTGGATCCATAGATTGTTTAGTGACGATTTCTCGATGCGATAGAAATTAACAGCGTAATGAGAGGGTGCGTTGGAGGTACATCGCATAGATTATCGGTACTTCAAACTAATCGCGAATATATACAATAATGAATCCATGAATAAGATTACACAAAGATACAAAATGTATAAAAATCAAAAGAGGAATGAGGTAAGGAGATACGTTATCTCCCAAACCCTTTAACGGCAGTTCTGGAACATGCTTTCAAAAAATTGGGAGTGGGAAGCTAATAGAATCAATGTTGACGGCGAAATGCCCTCCCACGATTTGCGGACGATATTTTTCTGATAACAGTTAACTTCAAAGAGATTGGAACTTTACTTAAAAAAGAAATTGCAACTATGCTTACTGATTGGAACTATGCAAATACATGACAAATCTGGTACCAAGCGAAAATCTAAGAGTCAACTGCAACGAAATATAAGGACAACCAAACTGCTGAACTTCAAAGAACAATTACTTTAGCATGAGTCGCATATCAAGCTTTATCAGATATTTTTAAAAGCAACATGCCAAATTATTTGAAAAAGAATACGTTCGACCAACGTGTGGGTCCAGTAATAACTTACGGCGCCGAAACACTTTCCTTAACCCAGGCTACAACACAGAGTAGCTCAAAGTCGAATAGAACGCTAACTACTTGTACTGACTCTCAGAGACAGTTAGGCACGAAGAAATAAAAATAAGGACAGAAATCACAAATGTCATAGTGCGTATAGCATGGCTGAAGTGGAACTAGGCGTTCCATGCGACCAGAATGAATGACGGGTGGTGGACCCAAAAAATTACAGTGTGAAGACCACGAGCTGACAGAAGAAGCAGAAGTAGACCACCTACACGATGGACAGACGTCAAAAGAATCGCGGGGAATTGCCGACAGGAAGCTCATGGCCGACATAACTGTAAGAAATTAGTGGAGGTCTATGTTCAACTTTGGACGCAGAAGGCTGGATGATGATGATTTCCAACTCTTACAGAGGATGTGCACTAAAACTGTAGTAAAAGTACCAATTAATGAAAAGAAAATGTCTGATTTAAAAAAACTAGAACAGTATACTCCAACACACAACCAAAATTTCTATACAGAGGTTTTTTC